TATTAACCTGTTCTGTGTGTGTTAAAAAGACTCCCAACTGCAGCTTTTTTTTTTCTCCCACTGTCCGAAGTAGGTTTTCCCCATTCCTTAAATGAAACAAACAAATAAAAAACCTTTCCTTACTCCCAAATTGTCTGCCTGATGTGTGCCTTCGGTCTATCTCATTACTTCTTGTGTTCTGCTATCATGTTCTATATTTGCTTTGAGCCACTGGGTGCTAAGGAATTTGGTCTCTAGCTCTTCTGAGGAAGTTTGGTGAGCTGGTACAGCTGGTACAAAGAAGTGATGAATGAGGCTCTAAAACTCAGGTTAAATGATAAAGATATATAAACTTCCTGTTACTTGTTAACCTGTTCTCTAACATACTATATTCAGTGCCTATGTATATGCATATAACAAAATGAATTTGCTAAGACATGATACTTGGTGTACATTCTTTGGTAGGAATTCTGCATCAGAAGAAATCCAGAATGGGGCAACTGAGTGGCTCAGTTGGTTGAGCGTCTAACTCTTGACTTCAGCTCAGGTCATGATCTCACAGTTTGTGAGTTCGAGCCTTGTATCAGGCTCTGCGCTGATAGCATGGAGATTGTTTGGGATTCTGTTTGCCTCTCTCTCGGCCTCTCTCTCTCTCTCAGAAGTAAACAAATAAACACTTAAAAAGAAAAAGAAGAAATCTAGAATGGAAAGCAGGAAAGAACCCTGGGAAGACGAAGATTTTATTGACTAACTGCCATGTCTGTGTAGGGACAATAACAAGGTTGCTGAAGTGAACAAATGAAGCATCATCAGGAGTTTAGTATCCTGATGTAGTATCCTTAGTACCCTAAGTGTCATGCAGTGTTACTATTTTATATTTCTGAAGCACTTTACAGTTTATGAAGGACATTTGGAATTCTTTTTCTCATTTGATCTTGCCTTGGCTTTAGTCAAGAACACCTGCTCAATTAGAAATGTGTTGGCTGAGTATGTACACATTTGTAGAATGTGACCCAACACATGCTACTGTGACCTGTAAGCTGGAGTACTAAAGAGGCAAAACCTTGTTGATGAGCTGGTGCTGTAATGATGTGCCATTCAACTGGACACTTACTTTCTGATGAAGAGTCTCACAACTGGGAAAAAGTGGAGATTTTACTGGCTTCCCTTTTCCACATTGTCAGTTTTTATTTTTATAGGCACAATGTACCTTTTAAAACAATTAAAAAATATGGGGCGCCTTAGTCGGTTAAGCGTCCGACTTTCGCTTAGGTCATGATCTCGCGGTTCGTGGGTTCGTGCCCCGCATCGGGCTCTGTGCTGACTGCCAGCTCAAGAGCCTGGAGCCTATTTCAGTCTGTGACTCCCTCTCTCTCTGACCCTCCCCTGCTCACGCTGTCTTTCTGTCTCCTAGAAATAAATAAAACGTTAAAAAAAATAAAAAATAAATAAAATAAAATAAAACAATTAAAAAAATAATACAGAGCCCTGAGATTTGATGTAAAATTGGATATCTGTGACCACAAGAGCACTGGTTTTCCTGTAATAAGGAAAGAAAACCCAACCAGGAAAGAAGGCAGATATGTTTTCTTTGCAACATTGCAGGCATATGAAACTATGCACATCTCACTGAAAACTAGGAATGGTATAATGTGAAAATTTAACCAAAATTATTTCTGTCAGTGAACAAAGCCCATTTTAAAGCACTGTATGTGTTTTTTTTCAGATCTCTTTTCCCAAAGTCACATTTGTGGTTTCTGGTAGAGGTACATAATTGGGAAAATTAAATGCATAAAAAGATGGAATTTAAAATATAAAATTCTGCCTTTCTGATAAATTTTATGTTCACTGTTTCCTTGATTTAAAGAGGACATTCTAGTATTACCCTTAAAGGGGGCACATTTTTATATACATGTTATTTTTGTTTGGAAAACGTGAGCTAGTGAAGAGTGAGAATGACCTTGGCTATTGTACTTCCTTATTGATAGAACTAATAGCCTTTTTATATCTGGATTCAAATATCTTCTCTACTAATCATGCAGCTTCCGTACATTTCAAAGAGATGATTCAGATTGCATGAAAACAGAAGACTGGAGCTCCCTACGTGCCCCTGTGTTTGTGTTTATACAGAATATTTATGCAATATTCCAACTTGGCTATAATCTATAATTCCTGCCTATTATTTCAGTTGCAACTATAATTTTTAGATTAATGGTTATAATTTTGGTAGGGAATACATGAAAAGTTATATGTTCATGCTTGAAAGGAGGATCATTAAATATTCATTATTACCACTCAAATTAGTTGTCCTGCTCTATAAAACAGTTACCCGTTATCATTTCACTAGTTTAGATTCAGCAGTAAGTGAACAGCAATATATGGCTCTTATCAGTAGAGGAGTTTTTGTTGGGGAACAGAGGGAGAAATGATTTTAAAACACATTTGACATATTTATGTTGACAAATTATTTAAAAGAATTACTGCTTTGTCAATAAACATGTTTGTACGTTAGAATAGGATTGTGGCTGGATTTACTTCTAGCTGTTTAATTACTCTATGATTGTGAAAAATAGTGCTTCTTCAAATGGTTATAAGGGAAAAAAATGAAAATACAGAGGTTGGGATATTTTAGTGTTTTACAGATGCCTAATCTTGCCATGAAAAAGAACTTTTCATTTTTGTATGCAGGCATTGAAATCTTGCTTTTTCAGCAAAGCTAGATTGTATAATTTGTTAGTTTTCCCTCCCTGGTAACAAATCTATCCTTAAAAAAAAAAGCAAAAAGTAAAATAAGAGATGGATTTTTATAAATGTTGTGGAGATCTCTCCTTAGCCTGTTTTAGAAGCGTGTAAAGTGAAAAAAATAAATACATTTTAGTGTAAAAACATTTTGCTTTTTGTTTCCACATACCTTGATATGCCTGTTCAGTTATACAAAGATATTGGGGATAGCCACATGCTTTTTTTAAATCACATTTATGAATCATTCCATACTAATCAGTAATTTAAATTTTTTCCCCATAGAACACCCCCCCCCCATAAATTTGATTCAGATCTCGTGTAACTTTAGAGCATTCTTTCTTAGAGTCAAATTGTAGCTGATGAACACATCTTGCATTTTTCCACATTGCATCTGGACTCTTCATAATGATGGTTTATTTTATTTTATTTTTTCTGCCCAGAAGAGAGGAAAAAATATATAGGTCCATGAATCAATCTAGATAATGGGGAAGGCTGAATGTAATAAATAATACAGTAACAACCCTAAACTAATGAGCTGTTGCTAAGGTACATTTCATAGGCTCATCCTCTATATAAAAAGTCACTAATAACCCCTTGGTGTAATCAGATGATAAAGCTTTGCCATAAGGCAACACCTGTGCAATTAGAACTGCAGATTCTTTTGCACGTTTCATTAATTTCAGGATTTTGTAAAGGCACAATGACTACACTAATAATCTAGTCTACTTGACTCCATGTCTACCGGAAACAAAGTGTCTAATTAGATAAAGGTAATTAATTAGAGATAAATGGAGCTAATCAGGCTCAGTTAACACTAATTCTCTGAATTAAGACATTTTGGGACACCTACTATCCTGCTGATTTTGATATTTTGCATTAAAAATAGGTTTTAGAGGAGTCAGAAAATACTGGCATTCGAGAATTGAGCAGCCTCTTGATGGCATATTTAGTCATCTGAAGCTAAAGGAGAGTTTTCTTTCATATTGTGCTATTTCACCACCTTTCTCTTGCAGCTTAAAGAATTCACTTTGTAGTTATTCCAATCCATGCTAGTCTCCATATAAATTTTAATAGCCTTTGCTATCATTTTTATTATCTGTCTAGCCCACCAATGGAAGAAAATCACAAGTTGTTCTCTCTTAAATAAAGAATTAACATGTTACATTAAGGAAATGTCAAGACTCATCAGCCTAGATCCTAAAATCCTGGTCCTTTAAAGAGAACAAACACCTATAATTCTGATCATTTAATTCTGATTCTTTAAAGAGAACAAACCTCTGCTTTGCAATGTTGGATTGAAAATTTAGTGGTATGGGGGAAAGCTTTGAAGTCAGAAGACCTGAATTCAAATTTCCACTCTCATATAAATGAGTGATCTTAGAAAAATGCTTAATTTCTCTGAGTTCCTTTGATTATGAAATGGAAATGATAGTGCTGCTAACCTTACAGTGTTGTGAACATTGAGTGAGGCAACTCTGTAAAGATTGGTTATTATTACCTGTTTGTAATTTGAATTGAACACATAATCTAGCACCATATCTTGCTTGAGCTACAAGATTAAGTATCAAAAATGTTCCATTTTTATCTCTACTGCATGATAATCTTTGGGCTACATTTATACATGAAGCAAGGGAGAGACGAAGAATTTTCTCCCAAATGGTCAAATCAGAAAAAAAAAAAAAATTCCTGCAAATTCTTCACTTGGAGAATGTGAATTTATCTGCCTTGGTTTTCTACACTGATATAATTAGCCCTCTTGGCAAGTTGTTTCACAGTCTTCGAGGAATGGATAGTTTGCTCCAGAATTGAACTCTGGGATGTAGAAATGAAGTAGAAAATTAAAATCTTTCCTTTATAATTTCTGTGGGATATGCCCCTTCCTCTTTCTGTTCTCTGTTCTAACTTATCTGGACTACTTCTAGATTATCTAATGATCTCCTAACTAATATCCCTGCTTTCATTTCTTTTCTCCTGTAATTCAGTGCCCTGTAATTCATTGTCGCCAACTTGACCTTCCTCACACAACACTTTCCTCATTCTCTGTCTTGTCAAGAACATAAGACTTGTTAAATGAAGACTATCAGATAGGCAATGAGAGCATCTGTGTCGGGTCCACACTATTTGTCCAGCTTATCTCCTGCCCTCCCCTGCCAATGCCTTTTTATCCAGGCAAACCAGCCTTACTGTTCTTCACCACACTCATCTCTCCTTTAATGCTCTTCCCCCCACTCCCCATCCCCCATCTGACAACCTCTCTCCTCTTCTTTCAAAGCTTATTT